ATATATTATGTATGTTATATACCAAATGTATATAGTTTTTTACGCGGACTAAATTGAAAAAAAAACCAAAATTCAAAGATCACAAGGAAAAAACTGGACTCATTAGTAGTTAGTATAAATAAATGATGAATTATTAGAAAAAGATTATATGCCAAAGACTGAGAAAAGAAACAAAGAAACAGTGTGAATCCTCAAAGTTTCCTCTTCAAAGATTTGGCTTAAAAGCTAATAAGGAAAGAGAACTATAAGGACAACATTCTCATTTCTAAAAACTCTCAAAGGGATTATCCGAGAAATATATAATCTCTAACCATCTTGACAACAAGATGGTAAAAAAAAACACTTGGAAAAATACAGCTCAAATCCAAGAAAAATCTTTTTGCCAATATATTTCATCGTTACTAAAATAGAAACCATCCTCTTTCACCAACCAAAAACACTGCTTTGTAGGGCTGCACCTTTGAACATCCCTACTTCCATAAAAAGCTTGAAATCTTCTCCTTTTTTGGTCCAATTTCATTGTGCATACGTACTGACTATTCTTCCAAAACTTGGTTTTCACACTCCAACTAAAATCGTCGCGCTCTTGGAGCGCGCGACCGCCAATGTCACCGGTGTCACCGGAGGAGCACCAGACGACTAACGGCAGGGAAGAATTGTTGGTAAAGCCATTGATAATGTGGACGTTGTAAATGTTGCCAAAGTAGTCATAAGGTTGTTTTATGGAAATGAAAGTAACATAAGAAGCAAGGCCTAATATGAGGAGAAAAATGTTGTATGCTTTCATTTAATGTGTTGTGGTGTTTTGGTTTCAACAACTATTTGATGAATGGTTTATGGTTATGAAAAAATTCAAGTGGCTATATATATAGTAGCTTAGGCTAGCTGGCTGCATGCTTCCTTTATGGTAAGTGGTGACTATGAAAAGAAAATCTACTTTTCAAGTATCTGGAATAGTTATATTGATAGTCTTGATTTTTGAATATTTTTAAGAGACCCTTCTAAAGATTAGAACATGCAATTAGCACCTTACAGTTATTGGAGGTTTCTAATTTGTCACATGACAAATTAGACCATATGTTAAGTGTCACCGGTACAAATATAAGAACATAAAATAAAATACTTTAAAATAATAAATTTTAATTCAAGGTATGGGTCTAAGCCAAATACCACATCATCTCAACGCGGCTTTTCGAAAATAAAAAAAATAAAAAATAAAACCCAGCTAGAAAAGAATAATTGCTAAATTTGGAGTGAATGCTTTTATAACTAATTAATAGCTACTTAATTAGGTTATATTTATCTTATCATATTTTGAAGGATCGCGATAAATCATAAACAAAGAACTTACTTGTTCTTCGTAGTGAAAGTAAAAAACGAATGAACCGCGGCTGAAATTATCGGTCGGTGGTGGTTGTCACAGTGTATTGGATAAACCCCTAAATTATAGTCTAAACCTTAGATTAATTAGATAGAGAAGAGAGTGTCTAATGTTTCAAGTATATTTAGAAGTACACAATAGTTACTAAAATTACTGGATTTTGCCCTAGTGGGCCTTAAGAGCACCCCTTATGGGGTATAATAATGCGGGATAACCATTTTTGGATTGGTAATTGAAAAATAGTCAGCGTTTGCGAAATCATTAAAAAATAACCATTGTTTTATTAAAACACGAAAATTTCTAGCATAATATGCTGGATTATGGAGCTCTTGCATATAAACTTCTAGCATATTTTATTGGAACTCAGCGCACTGAAAGTTCCACCATAATATGCGGGATTATGGAGCTCCTGCATATAAACTTCCACCATATTATGATAGAACTCCAGCACATTATAAAATTCCAGCATATTATGCTGGAAACTCAAATATAAAAAATTCGAACTCCAGCTTATTATGCTGGAATATTTCCGGATTTTTAAGAGTATTTTTGTTCGGATTTTATTTTTACATGGAAAGTGGCTAAATGTCGATTACTTTTGAAATTGTGACTAAAATTTTGGGCGAGTGTTTTAAACTCCCATTTATAAGAATTATAACTTATTTGCATCAATTGAGGTCTGAAGGTGCAAATTTGTACCAAAGTCATGAAACTATGATTAAAATTTTCTAGAAGTTACGGATTGTTCCTACAATTTGCCAAAACCTTAAGGGTTATTGCAAACTATATATTTCGTCCAAATTTTCGTTTCATACCTTTTGTTTTATGCTCGTTGCTTTCATGTTTCTATTCCTGGTTATGCATTATCGACAGGCTAAAGATTTCAAATAAGAACCAAAAAAAAAAAAAGAAACAAGAAAAGGCCATAATAATATCCCAAATTTTGATAAACGAGTAGCACAGTTTAATGTGTACATTTTCTGATTAGACTTATGAGTGAAGTAGTGATTATACTGTGGAAAAAGGTATTTATATAGCTTTTTATCTATAGTTCGAAGAGTACACATGATAATTATGGGTCATCGTTATGCACTAACAATAAAGTTTCCTTTATCCCTTAACTAGGTTTCATGACTACTGATTGAACATACTCAAATCCTTACATTTGGATTATGTACCGAACATGGTGATCCTACAGTACTATTGTTCTGGATTTTAATAATTGGTCATCATTATGTTTATGAATTTATCACTGAAATTACCATGTAGTTTATCCCCATATATACAACTATACAAGCTTTTGTTTTCCACCATGAAATAGATCTGCTTTCCAAGATATTGAATGATACCAAGAAATTAAAGGGGACCCCTATAGCTCTAAAAGGCTTTGAGATGTTGAAAGAGAAATTAAACTTTTACCTATACCCGTCCCGACAAAAGTCAAAGTGAAACCTTCTTGAAGAGGTAAATTAAATTCAGAGGTGTCCGGAACCAAAATGATATCTTTTCTTAAAAAAAAAAAAAAATAGGTGAAAAAAATAACTGGTAACCTTTTTATATATAGCGCATGAAATTCATGTGCTATATCTTAATAGCACGTTTGTCCGTTAAGGTATAACGCATCAATTACGTGTGTTATACATGTTAATTGTCTGACCCACAATAATTGGTAGGTATATCACATGTAATTTATGCGGTATATTAATAGCGCATTTAATAAATGCGCTATACACACCAATTATTGTACCCCTTGCACTAAATTAATAAATGCGCTATACACACCAATTCTTGCTCATTCTGAAATATTTGTTTACTTAATTATTTTTTGTATTTTGCCATAATGTCTGAAGAGTGAGAAATTAGGGTTGCATTATATTGGGGGAGTGAGGTTGTCGTGGAGAATAACTCAGTACATTATAGTTGTTCTCCACAGTGTATTGTTAAGTTGCCACTCACAGTGGAGTACGATTGGTATCTTTGAATTGTAAAAGAATGAGTGTGAGTAAATGTTCAGTTAATATTAAGGTAACCGGAAAATATACATATTCGCTTACTCCGCAAGGGGTTGCTTATTATGTTGAGTTTAACATAGAAGACGATGAAACTCTAAAAGATTTTTTTAGGACTCCGGATGAACACCGAAAACTTCTTGTGATAAAAATGTCGGAAATATACGTCAAGTCTGAAGGTGTCCGCAATATTGAGGATTTGCAAAATAGGGATAATACTCAATCATCTGGTGATATTTTTGGAGTAGTTTTATTCTAACATGTTCCATTTGAAAGTGTTTGGCATGATCTAAATTTTCCTCCACATGCGAATGAGAAGCGAGGACATAATTTCTCCCAAAATTTACATAATTCACACGCCGAGTGGTAAATTTCAAATTTTCTTGTTGTAGTATGATTTTTTTATGTATCATATTTGTACTAACACTCATATCTTTTAAAAGGGGTACTGGCCAGATATGAATTTTACAAGTTATAAACCAACCAATAGTTAGAATATGCCCAATTTTGGTGGTTAGGATCATGCTGATCCATCTGCGAGTCATCAACAACTCGATAATGTGCATCATGGGCTATCAACAGATTATGAATTGTAAGTTAAGAGATGAAGTTAATAAATAATGTTGGGATGACTTTGAAAAACTCATTATTTTATTGGTTGTGCAGTGAAAACGAGCAACATGGTGGTCATGTCCTTACTCAGTTGCCAGAAGACGATATATTTAATCAGGATCTGGTTGATGCACAAAGTTAGGAAGATGATAGTGATTATCTGGAGATGATACACCCTTCCCCGATGAGGGCGACGATGATGAGGAAACGCGCTTTGCTGATGAAAATGAGCAACCTGATTTGATGAGGGGGAATGATGCCACAAATGAACATGCTCCTGTCACGACTCAAAATTCAACTAGTCGTGATGGCACCTAGCCCAACCCGCTAGGTAAGCCAATTATCAACTATCCAATTCCAATGAAATTTAACAAGACAATTAAGTAAAAGAAAATATCTAGATCTTATACATTCCCCAAGGACTGGTAGTACAAATCATGATCTTCTAAAATTAGAATATACAAAGTTGGTATGAAATAAATACAACATCTATTAAAAATGTACATAAACAGATCTTTATAAATCTAAGGCTACCATGAACAAGAGGCAGCTACAACCGGAACGCGGGTACATCTTCAAATCTAGCTCCCATCGGTCTCAGCAACGCCAGCAGCCAACATCTGCACGCAAGGTGCAGAAGTGTAGTATGAGTACAACTGACTCCATGTACTCAGTAAGTAACAAACCTAACCTTAGGTTGAAAATAGTGACGAGCTGGAACAAAGGTCGGGTCCAACACCAATAGCTAACAACATTCCATAACAACGTAAAGCAAGTAATAAAAGAAGTAACTCAGAGATAAAATGCCCAGCTTAATCGTGATTTCTGAAAATAGTCCTGCCTTTTAAGTATATCAGTGAAAATCCAAATCGTTTACCGAAGTTGGCAAAAAATATGAGTAAGTTTGAAAACAGTAATTTTTTCCAAAAGTCCTTTCAACAATAAATAAGATGTTTCATTTTCTTTCCAGATAGCCAGTGTAAAATGCATCACTATGCCCATATGCTAATATGTGTGAGAAGTCATGAATGACGTAATACCATACAACATGAGGAAGATATATCTCTATGCATTTATGTCATGTGTGCATGTCAATACAATGTATCTCAGAGATGAACTCATGTACTCACACTCTCAGAATACTTAATCTCACTGTCTCACACTTTCAACTCATCATACTCATTCACTCAGTACTGTATATGGCAATTCCGAACCAGGGAAGATCCACCCCCGAATATATACATCAACTAACCATCAGTCACTCAGTACTGAGTAGGGCCAATCCATCCCGTGGGGAAGATCCATCCCCAGGTATAAATGCTTCGGACAAGATCCATGTCCAGAGAAGATCCACCCCTCAATATAAATCAATCGCGCTCATTGGGGGTGTGTGCAGACTCCGGAGGGGCTCCTTCGACCCAAGCGCTAAAATCCGCACGGACAACTCATGTGCTGCATGAACAACTCACGTGCTATAATATCAATATCTGGGCCCGCATAGATAACTCACGTGCTGCACAGACAACTCACATGCTATAGTTTCAATATCTCAAAATCAGGCCCTCGGCCTCATTCAGTCATCAACCTCTCCAGTCTCTCGGGCTCACAATGACATGAACTAGCCCAAAATGATGATATGATATATTAATAAATAACAACAGAGACTGATATATGATATGCAATGAATGTACATGACTGAATATGAAATTGCAATGTAAGCAAATAAATCAACAGCAATAATATCCTCAGTGGGTCCCAACAAGATAAGTATATAGTCTAGACATGGTTTCTAACATGAATCACAACTCGATAACTCTAATACGCAGAGATTTCATGATTACAAATAAGTTCAGGTAACTACACAGTACCACAAAAATAACGGAGTCACAG